TTTCATCATTCATCAATTCTAACACTTCAGAGAAAAAAGTTTGAAATTTGGATTAAAATGTAGTTTTTTTTTTGTAATTTTTTACAAAGTTTCAAACTGAGGTTAATATGCGTTTTGCTAGAGAATGAACTCTATTTCAATTGAAAATTTTGGAAAATAAATAAATACATAAACATATCTGGCAAACAATATCACTTTGAAATGGGGCTGCTGTTGATATGACCAATACTGTATTTTTTACCAAATAAGTATGTAATTAAACAAACTTATTTCTAACATATGATTTTCCGTTGTTAATCGTATATATGTGAAGTGGTGGTCTTGTAAAAAATTATATATTCCTTAAATAAATTTCATTGCTACGTTTTTTACCAATCTCAAAGGCTTGAAAGGGTTTATCAAATAATTGTATTTCAATAAAATAACACAACACATAAATTTGGTCTGAGTTTATAAGAAAAGATATAGTCTTGAATAACTTTACAGAAGAGCATAAATAGTGAGAATTTTTTTATAACTTTCCCCTATATTTGACTGCATTCGTTTCTCTGAAATTTCCTTGTGGTGCATCTGAGTCAACAATTGAATCATAGCAAGGTAAAGAACGCAAATTTAGATCAGTAAAGGTCTTCAGCTCATAATCGATAGGCAATCCTTCGGAGTATTTGATTTGATTGATGATTAGTAACTGTAAAACCGAAACTGTATTAACAGTGAAAACAAAAAAAAAAAATAATTCTGAGTTTTTAATTAAGCTCCTACAATGCTGAAAATATAAAAAGGGAGAAAACATTTTAGCAAAATTTTAGAAATATTCTGGGTATGCCCTTTTGTAAATATTAATTAAGCAACAAAAATAAAAATTGTCAAAGTCGCTAAAACGTGTGTTCCCTATTTACAAATCCGCCAGCGTACAAAAATATTTTGAAGACAACTACCTTCATTTGTTATTCGTTCTGCCGACACGTATTCCTCTCTGGACTTTCTGTCCTTCACAAACTGTTCGTAGAAGTTGCTGATATTGTTCTTAAAATTATTCCATTTTGAGGCTAACTTGTCTCCCTTTTCTGGTCGTAGGACCTCAAAATCATACTCAATCTTTAAATTTGTAAATTGTGCAAATGTTATAAAAATGTGTGCGTAATGCATTTAAAAAGCAAGATTATGACTTACCAATTTATAGCCAAACGCTTGCTTAAAAGAGATCCAATCTTCTAAAAAACAGGAATTGTTTTTCACGTTTCGCAAATCTCTCTTGCGCAAAATTATAGTTTGACGCCAAATTTCAGATTCTTTAGGTGGGTTTGAAGAATAGCAAAAATCCTCAGCAGGACTTTGGATCAACTTTTCCTTCAGATTTTGAAGGTGTGTTTCGTCAAATTCGTCTTCGAAATCTTCATTGTTCGCTGGTTGCATATTAATTTTTTTGGTTTTGTGTTTTCTATTTTTTATGTTATGATACTTGTCGTAAAGTTTACCTCCAGGATTTCGACGTGGGCCTCGGGGAATGTAGTAATACTCCTTAAAAATGACGGAATAAGGAATATAATTTATATATGTATAATATAATTTAAACTCAGGAAAGTTAAAAAAAAAATTACCTCGGGTTCATTTTGAAAGATAGACGATATTTGCTTCGAAATTTTTTTAAAGTCGGCGCAGTGTAAGTCTAGTTGTGGACTAAATACTTCTTCTAAGATTATTAGAATCACGTCCTGGCGATGAATTTCTAGTATATAATTATTGTTGCTGTTGAAGCTTAATATGGCTCTTCCTTTTTCACAGCGATTAAGCGTTTTGCTTACCTGAAAGGGTTCTCCGTAGGCAATTTATTTTCCTTTTCATATGGATTCAATAAAAAGCTGCTGTGAGGGCCGTCACTGTGAAAAGCCTTATAAAAATAAATACAATCAGCGTCAAAAGTTAGCATACACCTTCTAATATAATATTCACAAATTGTATACATCATGGTACATATATATTGTATATATCACAAACTGTATACACAGAACCTTTCCAGGAAATTTAATAAAAAAGATCGAAATTTTTACGAGTTTGTTGATTTTTTTTAATATTGTACTGTATGTATTCACTGAACGCTTACGTAAATAGCACACATTTACTTTTTAAATTTTCACAATGTTTTACGTGTTAAAGATTCTGTAACATAAACCATATAAGTCAAAGTTTCAGACTTTTTTTGAGAATTTTTTTTTTTGTCGAGGGTGTAACGCATTTTCTTCCATAAAACGCTTGAACAAAACTTATTTTTTTTCTCAAAAAATTCTGAAACTTTTACTTTTATGGTTTATATAATAGAATCTATTATCAAAAAGAACAATAACGAAAAAAATTAATCACGTAAATCAATGGGAATATTTTTAAAAGTAAATGTGTGCTATTTACGTGATCGTCACTGAACATATCGTTACCTTGATATAGAAAGGCCCAAATTTTTTTTTCAAATCCAGTATGTCTTGAATCTATTATGGGTCATAATTTGGTATTCTAAAAAATACGCACGCTGCGACCAAATTCTTTTCCGATATTCAACAGTTATGAGCTCGCGCAAAAGCAAAAATGCAAAAGTAGTGTGGTTTTCGCTTCCACTGTACAGCGAAGCTGTACACGCATGCTGCGACAAGATTATTTTCTGATATTCAACCGTTATTAGCTCGCGCAAAAAAAGCATAATTGTAATTTTTGATTTGGTTTTCGCTGAACAGTTTAGGCTAAAAACATTGTGGAGCGAAGAGCACAGCTTCAAGCAAAATGTCGATTATAAACGTGTATGTTTTAAATGGTGGTGCAAATATCTCCGCTTTGGTCTTCACTATGCTAGCTCCTATTGAAACATATGTACATTCACGCTTATAAAAGACGATTTGCTTGGTGCTATGCTCTCCGCTCCAAAATAGGGCTATTCTCGATCAGGTGCATACTGTTTAACATGGTGCATATATAGTATAAATAGCATGATTGGATAATTTTGTTATTGTTTCATGTGTTCAAACAACAATAAAATTAGCCAATGATGCTATTTATGCTATCTATGCACCATGCTAGACAGTTAGCACCGGATCGAGAATACCCCTAATGTTTTTAGCCTAAACTGTTCAGCGAAAACCAAATCAAAAATTACAATTATCCTTTTTTTGCGCGAGCTCATAACGGTTGAATATCAGAAAATACCCTGCAAAAATCGTTGGACCATGTAGTCTATTTGTGGTAAATTGGAGTACTTACAAAAGTGTTCCTCTGTCATGCTGTAGCGGACCAGCTTATTGTTTGTTATCCGATCACTGCTCGTGTTTTAACGAAACGTGATTGAAGTTCAGCATTTGAAAGCACAATTGCATGTCTGGCTGTAGCTGAACGTGTAGAGATGCTCGCTGTTAGTTCTTAGCTCCCAGCATGCTCGGGTTCGAATGCCGTCAGAGGCAACATGTATTTTTTAATTTTTGTCTTGGTTTTTATTACTTTCGAAAAAGCATTTGAGAAGTGAAGAACAAAAGCGTGTACAAACAAAAAAATATAACAACAATGCCATTGTTAATATGTTGGAGTAGTTTTGTGCTACTCTGATGTAATGCAGAGATGGAGTATATGGTCCTGCCCTAGGACATCGCAATGTTAATTGGACCATATTTTTTATATGAATTGTGGTTAATTTTGGAGTACTCCTTGGTCCTTCGGGAGTACTCTTTACATGCATACATGGAGTAGTCGCGATTTTTGCAGGGTAATCTTGTCGCAGCATGCGTGTACAGCTTCGCTGTTCAGTCGAAGCGAAAACCACACCACTTTTGCATTTTTGCTTTTGCGCGAGCTCATAACTGTTGAATATCGGAAAAGAATTTGATCGCAGCATGCTTGTGTATAGCTCCGCTGTTCAGTGGAAGCGACAACAAAAATAGCAGTACATCTGCATGTTTGCTATTGCGCTCGAGTTTACGCTGGCGAACATAAAAAATTGTGTTGTAAGTAGCAGGCGAAGCTTCGCTCTTAATAAAAAGCGAGAACAAAAAGGGGCTTTCCAAAGTGACGCGTGGGACAATTTAACTCGTTTTTGTTCAAACTTTAAAGTAATATCTCTTTAAATATAAATTTTACAAGTTTCAAACTCTTGACATTTGAAGCCAAATTTCACTTCAGTATGAAACTAATAATGTATTAAATTTACTTATATAATTAACACAGAAAAGTGAACTTTTCTAAGAGTGACGGGTACGAAGATGATGAAAATGTTTCCTGTATAAATTATATAATGCTAACAATTTGAGCCAAAAGGAGCCACATGCCACTTTGGAATGCCCCTTTTGCTTTTGCACGAACTCGACAGTTTGATGTCACTATAACAATAATAACCACTTCAGCATTTAAAATTTTACAAAATTTAATTTTTTACAAATCATGTACCCATATGTTGAAAACAAAAAATCTGCCTTGTCTTGCCTTCACTATTCACCGATATCGGCCACCGACAGCCGCACTTTTCATATTTTTTATACTCGAGACGCAATTTTTTCACTATATTAATATATTTATTTACCAAACTGAAACCTAGGCTCGAATCGTAACTGTCGTGAACGAGCAACTCGTCACGTAAAAATGACAAAATCGGATTGTGACGTACGTGAACGAACTTCTCATATCGTAATTCGGTATTATGACAGGCGTGAACGAGCGAGTGAACGTACTCGTTCGTTCGAACTGTCATTCGATTAATATTTGACGAATGTACGCGCGCAAAATTTGATAAAATTTTTTGAAAAATGTAATTATAAAATTTGTGCAAACATATGCAAGTTTATAGCTATTTTTCTTATTTTAGAACAACTACAATAAATTAAACTCTACGCAGAAGGAACTCATGGCGGAGTTGATGGCCGAACACCCTGACTTGGCAAAGAATTTACTCCCAAACTGCTCGCAGGGAAAAGCAACGGCCAACCGTTTGTGGGAAAACCTCACCAAACAATTACATGTGGTGGACCTTTTCAGAAGTCATGTGCTGCACCTCTATATTGACAATTTATGGCAAGAATATTGCAAGTGTGGTCACAAATCTGGCAAACGGAATATTAGCAATGAAATGTTAAAATGAAAGAAGAGAAACTTACTAGCATAACGTTAAGACTATGGTAACCTTTCCTGTTGAAGTACATGTGCTCGTCTCTAATTGGCTTTTGTAATCCAATGTGTGTTCCGTCTACGCATCCAACCACTAAAAGGAAAAACATTGGATTCACTACGCATTTCATTAGAACGCCTCTTCCTACCTCCAGGTATTTTATATTTTTCCGCAAACCGCTCCTTACATCTTGAAGATTCGTTGGGCTGGAACTTTATAAATTCCGGACACAATTTGCGTTCTATTTCTTTTAAGACGTTGGACGTCAATTTTGATACCGTGCTCTGGCACATACCTATCAGGTAATCGCTACCAACTGTTTGCTTATAGCTACCACTTGCAAGGAGCGAGAGGCTTGCAGCCAATTGCAAAGCAGCAGGAACGGCTTTTGTGTCATCGCAGTTTATGTTTGTTTTCGATAAAACATACTGAAATGCCTTCTTGCTTAACCGAAATCTTTTGATGAATCTGCAAGTATAGGAGTAGAGAAGGTAATTTATTTCCTATGTATAATTACTTACGCGTTGTCGGATAATACCAATGGATTGCTTCTGCCCCGAAGTTGCTTACGCACAACTCTTTCGTCATTTTCGCTTTCGCTAGAGCTTAAATAAAATAAAAGGCTGGGATCCATTTTAGTTTTGCCGCTTTTCTTTAAGTAAGTTCACTTATTTTGACACTTCAATGTCCATTGTGACTTAAAACAGGAAGAAGAAGAGAAAAATAATCGATAACAATATAAACAATAACGATTCGTTCGTCTTCGATTGTTATCATCCGATATTGTTCATTCGATTAAAGGATCACGTAATTTGTGTTCGTACGATTGCCGACTCGTTCACGTCTGTCACGATTCGACCCCTGTTTCAGACAAACTGCAGAGTCTAGTGTGCGGATACATTGTAAGCATGTATGTATGGCAGGGTTGGCATTTAGCAAAAGCAAAAGTGTAGTAAAAGCATAGATAAAAAGTAGTAGGACAAAATAGTAGTAGAATTTTCATTGTATAGAAGCACGGTGTGTTTGCATATCCCTATGTAAAAAGTGACAATTGAACATGCAAATACAAGGCGCGTAATTTTTTTTTTCTAACATGAAAGCATGTTCCTTCATTTTTGTCGAAAACTTTTTATAGGCTCATGATCCAACCAAGCAAGATGAAGCATAAAGAGAAAAATAAGTAATTTTTGGGCGCATGTTTGTGCTAACCGATTTATTTTCGTACCTATTTTTGCAACCGTTTACCGCGCACTTCATTTTAATTATATTTCAATAACCAATTTATTTAAAATCGCTCACAAATCACTTTCGATATTGATATAAACTGCCCACAAAATATATAAACAAAGACATGTACACAACAAAACAGGCACAGCAAACTTCAAAATTACGAACGTCACATACTTTTTTCTTAAATGAAATTGCAAATGGCTGCTTGTTAACCGGTCAGATCCTCATAATTGGTTCATGGCATTAGCTTCTATAATTTAAATCACAGCAAACCAGAAAAACTAAAGTGGACGGTAGTGGGGTAGTCGGAGTTCCTACGTTCGTAACAAATCGTTAACACTGGTGTTAAAGTCATCAAAATACCAGTGATGCCACTCAAAAGTGAGATATAGTAGGTTTTATCTGCAATGAAAATAATTTGTGTGACATTAGATGAATTAAATACACATGAGCACATGTGCGCTCAGATGTTCGTCGTGTGTAGCCAGTTTAAGTAAAAATCCCGTGTATTTTGTTGTTGCGTTTGGTACTTAAGGATGTCAAAACGAAAGAAAATAGGAGATAATTTCCCTCATTTCGTTTGATTGACATCCTAAAGTTACACCATTTCGTCTTGGATGACATTCTACTGTTGGTTGTTTCTAACCAAACTTGGTTGCTTTTCTTATATTTTCACGAATTTGGTGGTTTGTTGGTAGTTATTGTTTCTTTTTTTAATTAGAAATTAGCAAATTTTTGCTTTACACAAAGTATTATACTGAATGCCTATTTTTAATGTAACATGTGCATATAAAATACATATAAAAGTAAATATGTATGTGATTGAAAGCACAAGTATTTCAATAATTTTTGTTTTTTGTAAAAAGTTTTGCTGCTTGGAATAGATACGTGAAAAATTAATTTGGTTTTTTTTCAGATTTTGGTTGGTTATTTTTTTTAACAAGTGGCAACCGTGGTTGCCCGTCGCATTCAAACAGAGCAACTCTTTTGTACGCAATTGTTGTTGTCAGCTGTGAACCGCCGACTTGAATTACTCAGACGAACGAGAGCACGAAGCGTGTTGCCCGAGCACGATCAACTCGGTGCCCTTCCCCTTTCCTCGTCGCTCCCTCTTCCACAAGTAACGAGTTGGCGCGACCAAAGTTTGCGTGGCTGAACTCAGTCTATTCGTTACCTATGTATATATGTACATGTGTGTATGTACATACATTTGTATGCAAGAATGATAGAATACAAGATTGCGCCAATCGAGCTGAGAGCAACTGGCCGTGACGTCAAAAAATACCAGAATGAGAGAGCAAGACGAACTCGACAAGAAAAAGAGGAAGCATCGAACAAAAGCCAGTATTGCCAAGTTATGAATTTGAAAAAGCACCAGCTTTTTATTGGTGTTTTTTATGGACTTTATATGCATACATGATTTTATTGGAAGGATGCCAATTCAAATTAATAAACATCAATGTTTCTTGCAAGACGGTCGATTTGTTCTAGCATGATTGAAGGTGCTGCCACATATTTTGTTGTCGCTTATGATTGTCACTGTGCCATGATTTTGTTTAAATTTTTGTAAAGTTGCTTACCACACTTACGATTGCTATAAATTTTGCTTAAAGTTTTTTTAGAATTTTCTAATTTGGTGTCCTCAGACTAAAACCAAAAGCACTAAAAACGCACCAAGCACCAAACTCAATAATTTTCGCGTTTTGAATACCCACTAAATTTGGAGCGAAGAGCATGAAGTTGGCAGTGAATGTAAACAAAAGTATTTTATGACGTCAGCGATTGGGTGGATGCTGTCAAATCGACGAAGAGAGGGTTAGCGGTCCGCGAATGGCGCGACCTTTATTGTCTGGATCGTGATTTGTATGTACGTTCGTTTTTACATTCAAATAATAAAAAGCTTCCCCGTAGCGAATGTCATGAATTAGTCACTTAAGTGTCTTGTACGGCCATATCAAGTCTTCAATGACTTTGGGCTCCTTTTATATGGAAGTCGTTCATGACTTTTTCATTCAAATGGTAATTTAGTCTTTGATGATCATTGATGATATTCAAGCGACAATGTCCTGCAATGAACTTTTTATAAGTGACCGCTGAAAGACATTGTCTGTTATAAGTCTTTAATAGGAGTACACCTGCATGACATTGTCACCAGTGTCATTGTCAGCTATATGTCGCTTAGGATTCACAGCAAGCGCGATGATGTCACCAAATCCTCAGTGACGATGTCACTAGTGACCAATTTCGCTACTGGGTAACTTCAAATTTCATTTCGTTTGCTTTAACAAACTTTAGGTTAGATTTATTGATTGAACCCGAACTCGTTTTCAAATTCAATCTTTTCTGTTAAAAAAAATCGTTTCGCTAACATAGAAAAATGGAACAAAGCTCTGTTTGATAAAATCATGTTCCTTTTTTCTTAGTGCATGTACTGAATAATTTATGACAAACTAACAATCCATTTGCCTCCTCTTTACTAATATTATTAGCAGATCCACATTTTGCTAAACTATTAAGTCATTCTGAAAGACTTCCCTTTAATGAAAAATTATGGAGCCAGCGAACTATTTAAGGAACCTTTACTTTCACAAATTATTCGCCAAATCGAACCTTCCAATTTTACGTTCAAAAATTTGGACCTTCTCTATCTATCTAAGATCTCTGGTGACGGTCACGTCACTAGGAAAGTGACCGTCACTGTTCTTGCTGGGTAGGTATTCGTATGCATGCGCGTTGAAGATATTTGTCTTATCGCTTTGTATAGCCGTCCCGTCGCTTTCTTTCTTTTTTCCCCTTCTCGTATAGTATATATATCTCAGGGATGATAAATGAAGTTTTCGAAATTGTACCAAACGTCAGAAAAAAAATTACCAAATCTAATAAAAATTTACCAACAAAAAATTGTAAACGCTTTCACAAAAACAATAAATGCTTAAAAGAAATATACATTTATTTAACGCCTTTTAAACAAACATCTTGTAAAAATATACATATATGTGTATTTTCATACGTCGCATACGTGACAGTCGTACGTTTCAATGTGATACAAACAAGGAATACCATTTGTTTTCTTTAACTTTTTTGGGCCATTATATAGCATATTATTAGCTCTATATTTAACCGAAAAATGAAAACAATCGAACTGCTTGATCCTGAAATACAAGCATTTAAAGAGAGCGTCGTTACATGACAAAAAATGGAAGTAGATTATTTCTTTTCTTACAAAATCGCAAAACTCTGCGAATTGTGGATGGCTATTTTCATGAAACTTATTTTGATATGATTTGGAGCAATTCTAGTTGTTCATGCGCCCCACGCTTTTCATTTTCAATTTCATAGATTGTTTATAATGACTTTTGCTAAAATTTCAAAATCAAAAGTTATCAAAACAAATTCTATGGGACTGAGAAGTATTATTTTCTACTTTTTAGTCCATTTATAAAAGCGTTTTTTATATTATTTATTTTCTACTTTTTAGTCCTGTCTGAATAAAAGTTTGCAATAGATATCAATTATATAAACAGGCAATCATGTTTCCTTCACACCCCTTTTACGGCTAAACTGTACTTCTGAGGTATAAACAATTATATACCATTAGAAAGGTATTTTGATGCTGATGTGCAGGCAATTTTTAAAATTTCAAATTAGTTTAAAATAGAGCGAAAAAATCAATTCAAAAGTCACACCAATACCAATGCCATACATGTACAAGGTTGTGGCGGAAATGCCTCCTAAATGTATGCTTTAATATTGATAGTGACTTAAAGAAACGTGCTAAGCAGCAGTTTAGGAATAAGATGTATGTATGTATGTTCATGAATAGATTAGCCTCAAACAAGGATGAGATAATTTTGAGTATGGAGAAGAAGAAAGGGATAAATACAGAAATTAAAATAAAAGTAAAGAAACCTAAATATAAAGACAAAGAGGAAGGAAAATTTAAATACCTAACCTAATAACAATGGTGGAGGTGAATATGTTAATGAAGAAAAGAATGGACATATTTAGATCAGGATAAAGGAAAGGATAAAGATGAAGAAGAAGATGAAGAAAAAGACGAGGAAGAAGATGAAGATGAATATGAAGATAAGGATAAAGATAACTTATCTTAACTTAAAACCTTAACTTAACTTACCTCACCACAACTCATCCACCACACACCTAAATCCACCACTACTTCACTCCCCACACCTAAATTCACCACACCTTAATTCACCACACCTAAATCCACCACACTTTAATTCACCACACCTTAACTCACCACACCCCAACTTTCTCACCACATCTTAACTCACCACACCTTAATTTACCACACCTCAACTTTCTCACCACACCTTAACTCACCACACCTTAATTCACCACACCTCAACTCACCACAACTAAATTCACCACACCTCTTAAGAC